TTGGTTGCTGGAGGGAAGAGGGTCGTACAAGAGGTGCAAGTTGTGGGAGGGTCGCACTTTGCACAAATTTCTTAAACCACTATTAGGACGTGCCTTGAGCACAGCACTGTCCCGCTATATCGCTTGGGTCCGGCTACGATCGGCGCTCACAAGGCCTTTTTGCCAAAGACAAGTGGACTGCAAGAGAGGCACTTTATCCTTCACAATCCCTCTTTATTATTCAGTCCAAACTCAGACCGATCGTTTCTTCATGGTCAGAGTTGGAATTTGCCCCCTCTAGAGGCCTGAGCTCCTGTGAATGGGGGAAAATTGGGTTCAGAGAGTCCACTCGCCTGCGATACTCTTGCGCATTCTACAGAATTATATCCTGTATAACTATCACTCCTATCGGAGGCGATAGAGACAGCAGGGTGGAGTCTCGCTATTTAGCGTATTGACTGCATACCAAACGATTCACGTATTCTTTGAAATCGTCAAACCCGTAGAGCATTACATGAGATGTGATCGAAAGGAAGCAGTCACATCCTTTTTATCCATACTTTTTTTAGGTACACGCTGCTTACGCATGGATCAAGGTGCTGTTCAATTTCCTGCTCCGAAATCCTTGTCCAGATATCATTTCCATCTTTTGAAAATAAGGAGGAATTAATGGCGTGAGTTTAGCCAAGTATTGCGAGTTACAAAACGATTTGACGTTCCGTCCACTGCGGATGATGGGTCGTATCAGGGGATGGGTCTGGCGCAGTGTGAGCACATTTTCCAGCAGTTGTTGTCGCTTAGCCGCGGTTTTCCACCAACGATTGGTGGAAAACGGGCTGGCGCTACGCCAAATCCAGCCCGCCGCTTGACACGCCCCACATCCGCAGCGAACAGGACTAGCATAACTTCACATCTTCCACAAACTCCCATGATGTGATGCTGTGGATAGACACTCGCTTGGTTTTCACATATTAGGGGAGCTATGTGCTCTGAACTCTAGCCGTAATAGTGAGGATCCATTGATTGGTCATATAAATGCCAAGTAAAGTCGTTATTAGTGAAGTCAGTCGGGGGCATGTCAGCTGCCGTTAGTTTTGGCACGGCGTCACCACCTTTCCTTCTAATCAGTGAGCACCCCATGCTGCAGCGGTGCTTTGCCTGACACGCCCCGCCTGACTTCAGTGATAATGACTGTATATCACTGTGGGAGTTTGAAACTACTCACAACCCCGTGGTCAAACAACAATATAATCTTAGTATTAAGTACGATGAACATCAAGCACTTTTGCAAAAAGAGGCATTTCAGATATGTTGAAGCAAAAGAACTCGAAATCGAACTACTGGGCTTCCTCGGCAACAACAAGTTCACAGAGGCTTACGAATGTGCATTCAAAGCGCGTGAAATGTTGACATCGATGCCTGAAGAAAGGTACTTCCTTGAAGTAGAAACTGTGCTTCTAATCGTCATTTCCTACTTCCCCATTCTCTCCAAGCGAATCTGGCAATGAACTGAAAGATGCATTGAACAACATAGAGTTGCTTCTCACAAAAAGCAGGCTGGTCCGTTAGTGGGTTGGCGGCACACAGCTTTACCGCTACAAGAACCGAAAAAGCCCTGCGGTACAGGCAATCAGGAAACTCAAATGTTGTTTTTCACTTTATTCCTTTCCAAAGCAACTTGAATCCTTGTATTGAAGCCTTTGCAGGCGAGAAAAAGTTGCTAACCTGCCTGTATTCCTTCGTCGGTTCTCCGCTTTTTGGGTTCTGACCAGATGTGTATCGCACGGAGCAGGTGTATTAGAACGACAAAAGAAGTATGCCGTAGCGATCAGCTGGCAAAGATTCCTACTCAAAACTCCCGGTAGGTGTAATATTTTGTAGTTTTCTTAATTTTCAGAAATAGACCTAATGTTCATATCCTGGTTGTTGACGGAGGTGGCAGTGGCAAGTGGGCCCACTTACCAGGCGCGTGGTGTAGCGTTAATATCCCAGACCACCTTCCGCCCAGGCCATCCAATTCCTCCGGAGACAAAACTTTTCCAGCAATTTAGTTTATTTTGTGAAAGATGTATAATGGAGCGTTGAGGAGACAAAAACGGGCTACTGGTAGATGCGCCCATGGACAATCACTCTGATGAAAAAACGCTGAAGTGATTACTAAGTTTCCCTTGAATCTCTTCTTTTTCACTGTACATCCTAAATCCTGGTTAATTCCCGCTGGGGTGAAAACAGTTCAGTCATGGAGCTTATTGCCCATGGAGTGATGGGGTAAAAGAACGCTCTGGACCTTACATCTAGAGAATATGTCACTCCATGCGTCCGGTTCCAGAAGCGCTCGCCAAATCGCGTTCCTCTGACAAGCGGTCGAGTCGATGAAACAAGTCATGATCATGCGTACGATTGCGGAAGGGGCAACTAGTCTTCAGAACAGGATCAGTGACCTGCAGGACCTGTCCACTGAAGACCCGAACCTGAATTGAACCAGCCCCTTCAGATAGATACGAAAGCTGTAGGCTAGAGGCTAGAGTAGAGAAAAATTCTGGAGCCGGTTGGTAGTGATGAATGACGTAATACATCTCAGTGAACATGGCCGTAGTTTATGAAGAGGGGCTTCCTGCTTTGCATGGAGCAACATCTCAAGAATACTGCACGTCATTTTCCATGTGCCTTGTGAGTCTGTGCCAGACAAACTTTGATGGTGTCGATAGATAATTCCTTCGTCTTTCCTTACAGATTGAGCAGGCACGTTGTACATTTGTATCTCCAGTGAGGTAGTGTATACCGGTCGGGAGGGAGGCGTAGTATTGCCCTCGAGGAAAAGTTTGCGACCCAATGCTCCGTTCGAATGGATTTCTCTTGGGGAAAACGACCGAAATAGTCTGTAGGGAATCCGCGAAATCTAGAATAACGGGTAGCAGGTTAGATAATGGGAAGAGGGTCGTACTAGAGATCTTTTTGTCCTGTCCAATGGTGCCACGCTCTGGAAAGCTGAATGAGTCGCTTTTTCGTGAGAGTTTGCTCCCGTTTTTTTCATTTTTGTTCTTTTTTGTTTTTTTGTCACATTTGCGTTTCGTTTCACTTTTTTGAACTTCTCTTGCTTCGTTAATTGTTCCAAACGCTTGAATATCTTTAGCTATCCAATTTTCAGATACAGAATGGGTACTTCCAGTTTGGCCTGAGCTGTTTCAAGACGATATATTTAATATTCAGAGATTAAAGTGCTTCGTGTACTCGCACAGCGTGGAGCATTTGGATCGTCGTGCCCTTAATCATCGATGCCACATTTTCGAACGGGAACGAAGAAGCATTGCAGGAGATCCGGGAAGGTATGGAAGACGACGCTGTGGCGGATAAGGACAAGCTCATGCTTCAGGTTTCTCGAATCGTTTCCTTGGAAATCCTTTAATTATTCATGTATTTATTTATTCACGACGTCACAGCGGATTGTGTCCCTCAAGGAGGTGAAAGAAAATTCAAAATGAAACATAATTATATCACTTCAGTTTTAATTTTCCTTCTTGAGTAAATCTGCCCGCATATGAATTGGCTAGCCTCTGCTTTTGTATAACCGCAATTTTACTATCGCTTGTATTTCTTTTGCAGGACCGGGCACTAAGAATATCTAATCGTGATTTTCTGGAGAGAATAGTGCTTACAGAGCCGATTAAGGTGAGTCGGATAGGAGGGTAATTTTCTGTACGAGTCATCCAGTTGAGGTGTTCAATCAGGCTAATAGAAGTTTTCAGAAAGAGATCTATGGAAGAACGTTATCTAAGAACCTTGGAAGATTCGCGTAATAAATACGATTCGTTTGAAATAGACGTGCCGAATAATCACCTGGAGTTGAGTGTTCCTCGAGGAGTGGTAACGAAGCATTACCTGGACAAAGAAGTTTTAATAATGGGATGCAGGGCATGTTTCTATTAGAGGCAAAGTCCGCCCATGACTGCAGTAACGAAGCTCCTACTACGAAAGACAAAGCTGCTTAGATAACTGATTAGTGAAAAAGAATCAGAAAAAAACTGCTTCATTGACCTAAATTGGACTCTATCCAATCCAAATTAGATGCATGCAAGCAAAAATAGCGTTGTATACGAATTTCCATCGCTCTTTATCATGACGATATAAACTATCTTATCACCTCAATCACCATTCGAGGAGAAGGAAGCACAGTGGCTGCTATCTACGTAGCTAGCACCAGTGATCGGCACGGGTAAAGAATGCCCGATGGCCTAAATGGTCAGCTTCTAGCGGTTCTTTGCCAGTTTTCACTTTTTGAAGGTAACACAGCCTCCAAAAGCGTCTTCCTGATCGTCTGGCACACTTGGGAGGACATAGCCTTATTTTATCGCGGAAAGTGCCTCTAATCAGATCGAGCCGAATCAGAGCCAAAATATGTGGGGCAAGCCTTAAGTGTTATTAGGCAGTAATTCATCAAAGGCACATTCCGCATTCACTGCGCATGGCAAACCAGGCGCTCTGCCCGGTTGGAAAATACCAAATAAGACGCTCTTCGAAAATTCCCACCTCTGAATGTGAATCCCCACTCCGAATCCCTGTCCTACATGCCTACAACTGTTTCCTGAATTTTTTTTACTTCTGCCGTTGTTGCCGTTTTTTCTCGTAGCCGTCAATTGTCCCTGAATAAACCTGCCGCTTGGAGAAGTGGAGGGCATCACAAGTAGGATCGAGAGGAAAGGCGGAAGTGGTATATGTAGGGCATTTGTACCAGGAAAAACAGCGAAAAGTGAACAACCAAAAACATTTTTCTCACAATCAGAGGCAAAGATGTCCCCCCCCCACTCCCTCCCTCTAGCGACGGAATACAGCCTCCCTCGCTCTAGATTCTCAACGTACGACGTGCCATAATGAGGGCGACATTCTTGGGCATTCTTGAAAGTAGTTTTGTCCGCAAACACAGATGATGTATCATTTTTGCGTCTCAAACGGACGTGATAACGGCGCCACCCAACCGCGACTGGGACAGTGCCCCACCCACTGCCCATACCACTTCCTACTTTCATTTATGAAGGTTTTTTGATGGTGCTGTTGTTCTGCGACTGACTTCCTAAGACAACGGAGAAAGACTGAGGTGATAAGGGGGAATAGTCGATATCATTATGATACTAACAAAAGAGAACTCGTCCTCTCTGCACGCTCTCCCTCACTGTATGCTCGCACAAGTTGGCGTTTCAGCATGAGGTTCTATCTGAAGCATTTCGTAAGTTTTTTCCCTCTTTTCTTCACTGAGTAGCAATTAGCACCTTGCTGTCAGCGTTGAGCCTCAGTGCCTTTTTTTTCAAATCACGAGACATGTCTTTAACTGCATCGCTGAGCTTGAATTTGTTGGCACGATAGTTTTTCAAATTGGGCTAATTTGTAGGTGTTCATGCAGAAGGTTCAATTTGGCATACGGTACTGGGATTGCTGTTCTATGACATTATCTTTGATCACAATGTGAATGGTGTGTGGCTGAGTGAAGTACAGGTAAACCTCATTATCATATGCTTCAAAGTCAGTAGGTGCGTTGACTAATAGACGGGACGGTAGGTTCAGGGCCATCGGTTCAAAGGCGTTGAGTCACACTACTCACCGCACTGGGAAATGAGGCGCTTCTCCTACCCCTTCCTACACCTCTCCACCGGGCCGAACCTTCAAGCAGAGTACAGCCACCCTTGAGAGAATCCCGCTATGGGATCTTACTTGGTCACAGGCGTACATGTGTTTAAAGGCCGTTGGTGTGGTAGTTTAGTACTCGGCCTAAAATGCTAGCGGGCGCTCATTGTTGCGCTGAAAATAGCGGGAAAGCGGAAGTGAACGGTCAAGAATTGTGCCGAAGCAAAACTATCTCGTTACTCTGTGACTCGTAAAAAGCGATATCGGACGAGTTTACCCATAGGCACATCTATGCCAATTATCGGTACGTAAGTACAGCTGCCACTTTTTGGACTCCATATAATCTACTGCAGCATCACGGTCGCTTGCATACACAATCCTTTCGCCCTCTGTTTTACCTAGTAATGACAGCAATAAGAGCATCAGACCGGTAAGGTCACTCCACTTGTGGGCGAGCGGGCGCGTGGACGTTCGTCGTCGCTCGCCCGCATGTTGTAGCCTAATAGGGCCTTATAAAGGTACCGTCCGTGGAAAAGGCGCTACCCAGCGCCTGCTTGGGGTCGCAAAATTTCTCCTGCCAGGCATAATAATCCCACTCGTCTTAGGTGTTTATCGTGCCAACTGCCTTCGAGTGGGATTTCTCCAAGCGCGAATTGGCGGACTGGGCAACAGTCGTTGAAGAATTTTTGAGATGGATGAGGAAAGGATGTCCATTTGAAGAAGTTTAAAGGGCTGTGTTACCATATGAGGAAGTTTGTAGGGGTGGGGGAGGGATCGTAGTGACACCGTCGTTTCACACATCATGGTACTGTATTCTGCTTCCAGCACAATAGAAGGTGTGCGGTCTACTTAAAGTCCTTTCCAAAGCAATGGCTCTTGATAAACCAAGGTCGTCTCATTTTCAGCCAACGCTAAAAGCAGCTTCCGTAAATCTAAAGGTCTGTTGCAGACGAATCCGATCGACCTAAACTCTCGGGATCTGTTTGAGAGTCGTCGAGAACGCTTCGAGGAACGATTCTCGTGGCTGCAGATGGCTACTGATGAAGAAATCGCCGATGCCGTACGAATCACATGGATCGCGACTAGACACTGTGGCAGAACATCCGAAATTAACTGGGTCTTTTCGAGGACAGTCTGAGCGATTTCGCTGGATTTGGTTACGTCTCATTTTCACTCATTGCTGCTGCTTAGAATGCATTAGTAGTCAGCACCTGCAGAGCAATACAGCCTTCTTTCAGAAATTCCTCTTCTGTTGTCCACGGTCGGGTTTGCTTGCGGTTTTGCGACGGATAGTAACAGACTATCGAAATTGTCGAAGTGGATTCCCAGACCTCACTGTTTGGAATACGGGATGGCAGATTGACTGTTGCGGGTAATTGCGAATAATATATTTTATCTCACCGAATAATTGCTAAATAGATTCCAACAGGTGGTCGAGGTAAAAGGTCCAGGAGATCGGCTCTCAACAAAGCAACGTCTTTGGCTAGACTTTTTCATGCGGAACGAAATAAGGGCTGAAGTCTGTCATGTCATTGGTGAGTTTTTAGTCTCTGAAAGCCATCGGTAGCTTCGCTACCATAATCAAACCATTATTTCAGCAAGAAGTGATCGTGAACTGCGATAACAAATGTTGGCGTGAAGTGATTTAGATTCTTCAGTATTGCAAAGATTCATGGAAATTCGGGCTTCCATGTTTCCTTTTTTATAATGTCACTGGAATTACTCTCCAATTGCTGTTGCCGATTTTTTAATTGATAGATGGAAACCTTTTCATGGTCCACAGCTGCATATGTAGTGCGCTACAGTCTCACTCGGGAGTTGTACGCTGCGAGGGCACTAGGAATCTGCTACGGTGAGACCTGGTAGATTTCCTTACCTGTGTTGTGCGTTTCTACTGAGCATAAGCGTACCTGCGTTTATTTACTGCACGCGTCCGATGAGTGAACGAGCAGCGATCTCTTCTTCTCCCTTCCTCAGAACTTGGTACGAGTCTCAGTCAAACCTCCGCTTTTGGAAGTGAATGTTACCTCTCACTCCCTTCTCACTTGTACCTTATTAGAGTTCGTGTGCTGAGTTTGAATATTGTCGTGCTATCTCAGTTCGTCTTTCACATCATTGTGTACTTGAATCTATTTCAAGAATTGCTCCTTCTAATGCTTGACAAGTCCCATCGTAAAAGGAGCGTTTCGCGTTGGTTGTATGGGCGGGGTCAGTTGAGCTTGGTGTGTCTTTTCACACAGGCACCGCTTTCGAGATCGATAAGAGGAGGAGCTCATCGACGAAGATGCTACGGTGGACTCTGGACGATTCCCGTCACAGAATCAGCACTCAAAAAAGCATTTCCTACTAACGGTAGCGACGGAGTCACCGAGACTATTGCTTTTTGTTCATTGGTGCGCTCCTCCTTGCGGTCTTAGAAAAGGAGTTCCTATCAAAAGAAGTGTTCACTTGTTAAAGTGACTACAGCCAGCGCAGGGTGTTCCTGTCATGTGCCTCTATTACGACGACAATCTCAACAACGCTGCCCTTCAAACTGTAACGGAAGGGGCACCATTCACAATCGTGTACCTTCTATTACAATTTCAGATGGATTAGTGCCTCTGTTACAGCGCATGAACTGTTTACTCGTTATGCACTGGAAAGTATGTGCCCAAGTTTGTCTTCAACGCTCGAAAATCATCACGTAGTTTTGCATGAGTAGGAGGACTGAGGTG